TGCAAATCCATATTAAACCTATAATCAGACATGATCTGCAACATAGCGGGCGGCACGCTAGAAGCTAGTTGGAAAGTCAAGAACCTTGATTTTTACATGGTCATTTTACTTTCCTGCCTCACCGTTACAGGGCGCCCTGAAAAAGCCAACTGATTGTTCAGATTTTTAACTTCATTTAATATTTTTCTGGAAATAAACTTACCACTGTTACAAGTAACTCCTGCGTCCTCATTATGCCCACAGTTATGGCTAAACCAGCCAGCATGATTGCATTCAGCTATGCTAGATTCATATCCTTGGCAGTAACATTGTCTAGCATGATCGGACCTGATCCTTGACCGAAGTGAGCGCCGCTCCAAGCGTTGGATGCAGAAGGGTAACCAAGCATGCGACAGACGACATCAGCATTATAAGGTCCCATCCATCATCGCAGACTGTACCCCACTCGCCTTGGTAGAAGACCTCAACTTGACCCTCGTTAGAAGAGTTCCATTCACGAGACGAAAACTGGAGCTAAAGTAAGAGAACATGAAATGCTTCGTGGGTTAGTTACTCACTTAAAATACTTCAATTTAGTAAAAGATTAAAAACACACACATAGACACCCACGGTTGTTCGTGGTGTAAATGGAGGATTTTCTTTTGTTCCTCTTCCATTTTCCTTTGTTTGTACTAACTTTTTCGCAACAGCTCTATTTGGTTTTGTACACGTTTTCTAATCGAGGTCGTCCTCGATTTGGTCCCTGTCCTCGATTCACCGATGATGTTGCACGTGTGTGTCCTCGATTTACACAATAAACAAACTCATCGGTTTCATTTTTTACTGCGTCTCATGATAAAACCTCCCATAATGTCTTGAACACGATCGTCAATTGTGGACTTCCAGGAATTGTGGAAACTATTGTCCTCTTCTGTTCAACGTCCCCTATTGAATGCATAAGCAAACCCGCTTACACATTATACTTATGGGGAAGACCTTTGTTTCCTTTCTTTGTTTTCCTTTGTTCCTATTGAAATATCAAACTCCAGAGCGTTCGGGTATGAGTAGGTTGATTTCTAAAGACGTCCTTATTATGGGATCTATTGTTCTATTGTGTTTTCTACCCCATAACGAACCCTGTACATGCACTTTGGTTTCATTACTGCGTCTATGAGATATCACATTGTCAGTTCAAACATGGGTCAAAATGATGAACAGCGCATGAGCGCAAGTCAAAACTCGATTATAATTCAGTTCTCGCTCGGTAAAACTGGCTGTCGCCCCAATCAGTATCGACAATATACGGACCGGAACCAGTCTACTCGCATGGCGGTCTTGTTTAGCACGCACAAAAAACCCAAACCAAAACAAAAGCCTTTCTTGTTTCAGATGGTTGCATAAACTTCAAATAGCCAAAGTGGTTTTCATTAAAATACAAGCCAAAAAAAAGCTTTGCATGACAAAACTAATTTGATTTTGTTGACGAGCAACGGACAGTGCATCTATAAAATCGCCAGTTTGAGAAAGGACTTATCTCCAATTAAATCATGTGGATCAGTAATATTGAGGTCATTAATTTCAATGCAACTTGACAATAAGACGTGGATACACCTTTTCGGATGGAAAATGTTAGAAAAAAAATACTATTTTTCATGACAAGTTTGGCGGTGATTGGACGAACAAGTTTGAAGTACCTGAGCATTCAACACCGGCATCTTCACTGTGAGAGCAGTGTTCAGAGTAATAAGATGTGCAGTCAAGTATTGAGCTTTCCGAACCGTTGCATGCACATGTACAAGGTGATAGGACCAACACCCGGGCCATAGGTAGCGTAGCCCGGGGCATTAATGGCTGGTCCATATCCAAGCTGTCTGCAGATGACTTGGCCTCGTTCATGTCCCAGGAATGGCTGCAAGCCGTTCCCCAGGAACCGTTGACAAACACCTCTACTCTGCCTTCATAGATGGTGCTGCCATTCACTAATCGTAACACGGAGGAGGGTGGATTGACGTCTACAGTGGGAGCAACGGTGTTTCCTATAAAACATGATGAATGGAAGAAATGGTTTGAAATACACAACGAGTCTAGTTGTTGTAACTGTTTAAGTAAAGTCTCTTTTGTATTACAATAAAAATTCTGCAGATATGTGTAGTTAACACAACAGTTAATTCATCTTCCCCATGGTAACAGTCTGAGTATCCGTTGCATCTTTGGTAGCCTCGAATGCATTGGCCGTTGTAGTAGCATCGCAACTCGTATGAACTGCAGCCGTAGCAGAACGGTTCGGTAGTGTAGTCTGGGATTAAAGTGTAGTATAAAACAAAGGTATCTGTACATATTGAGTAAGAAATTTCACAGAAACTGATTTGTTGTACACATTTACCGGTGCAGTTGTATTCATCTTCGCCAAAGTAGCAGTCCGAGTATCCGTTGCATCTTTGGTAGTCTTGAATACATTGACCGTAGTAGTAGCATGCCCACTCATTTGAACTGCAGCCGGAGTTGGATGGCTCAGTGGTATAGTCTGAAAACGAAAAGACAGCGAGATGAATTATTTAAAAAACTTGGAGAATGTTTCAACTTTAGAAAACTGTTTTGTTGTAGATATTTACCGTAACAGTTGGATTCATCTTCGCCATAGTAGCAGTCAGTGTAACCGTTGCATCTTTGGTAGTCTTGAATACATTGACCGTTGTAGTAGCATTGCCACTCATATGAACTGCAGCCGGAGTAGGGTGGTTCAGTGGTAGAGTCTGGAATTTAAAAGTGTGGTTTAAAAAGACAGTACGATATATGTTTCATAAGCAAAAATGTGACATATGCCATCTTTAACAAACTCTTTTTGTTTTGAATATTCATTTAGAAAATAATCTCCTGTGCTCATCTTGTCTAAAGTAACACTCAGTAGGTCCAAAAACACATTGACCTTCGTAATTTATTTTGTAGTATCGCCACTTACATCATCTGCCAGCCGTAGTAGAGAGGTTTTGGAAGTGAAGTTATCAATAATTAAGCTTTATATTGCAGCCAACTTCTTAAACTTTCGCTGAAAAAGTAGTCGGAAAATAGCAGCGACACCTCATCTTCAAACTTGTCATAATTTGTCTTTGCAAATCCATATTAAACCTATAATCAGACATGATCTGGCAACATAGCGGCGGCACGCTAGAAGCTAGTTGGAAAGTCAAGAACCTTGATTTTTACATGGTCATTTTACTTTCCTGCCTCACCGTTACAGGGCGCCCTGAAAATAGCCAACTGATTGTTCAGATTTTTAACTTCATTTAATATTTTCTGGAAATAAACTTACCACTGTTACAAGTAACTCCTGCGTCCTCATTATGCCCACAGTTATGGCTAAACCAGCCAGCATGATTGCATTCAGCTATGCTAGATTCATATCCTTGGCAGTTAACATTGTCTAGCATGATCGGACCTGATCCTTGACCGAAGTGAGCGCCGCTCCAAGCGTTGGATGCAGAAGGGTAACCAAGCATGCGACAGACGACATCAGCATTATTAAGGTCCCATCCATCATCGCAGACTGTACCCCACTCGCCTTGGTAGAAGACCTCAACTTGACCCTCGTTAGAAGAGCTTCCATTCACGAGACGAACTGGAGCTAAAGTAAGAGAACATGAAATGCTTCGTGGGTTAGGTTACTCACTGTAAAATACTTCAATTTAGTAAAAGATTAAAAACACACACATAGACACCCACGGTTGTTCGTGGTGTAAATGGAGGATTTTCTTTTGTTCCTCTTCCATTTTCCTTTGTTTGTACTAACTTTTTCGCAACAGCTCTATTTGGTTTTGTACACGTTTTCTAATCGAGGTCGTCCTCGATTTGGTCCCTGTCCTCGATTCACCGATGATGTTGCACGTGTGTGTCCTCGATTTACACAATAAACAAACTCATCGGTTTCATTTTACTGCGTCTCATGATAAAACCTCCCATAATGTCTTGAACACGATCGTCAATTGTGGACTTCCAGGAATTGTGGAAACTATTGTCCTCTTCTGTTCAACGTCCCCTATTGAATGCATAAGCAAACCCGCTTACACATTATACTTATGGGGAAGACCTTTGTTTCCTTTCTTTTGTTTTCCTTTGTTCCTATTGAAATATCAAACTCCAGAGCGTTTCGGGTATGAGTAGGTTGATTTCTAAAGACGTCCTTATTATGGGATCTATTGTTCTATTGTGTTTTCTACCCATAACGAACCCTGTACATGCACTTTGGTTTCATTACTGCGTCTATGAGATATCACATTGTCAGTTCAAACATGGGTCAAAATGATGAACAGCGCATGAGCGCAAGTCAAAACTCGATTATAATTCAGTTCTCGCTCGGTAAACTGGCTGTCGCCCCAATCAGTATCGACAATATACGGACCAGGAACCAGTCTACTCGCATGGCGGTCTTGTTTAGCACGCACAAAAAACCCAAACCAAAACAAAAGCCTTTCTTGTTTCAGATGGTTGCATAAACTTCAAATAGCCAAAGTGGTTTTCATTAAAATACAAGCCAAAAAAAAGCTTTGCATGACAAAACTAATTTGATTTTGTTGACGAGCAACGGACAGTGCATCTATAAAATCGCCAGTTTGAGAAAGGACTTATCTCCAATTAAATCATGTGGATCAGTAATATTGAGGTCATTAATTTCAATGCAACTTGACAATAAGACGTGGATACACCTTTTCGGATGGAAAATGTTAGAAAAAAAATACTATTTTTCATGACAAGTTTGGCGGTGATTGGACGAACAAGTTTGAAGTACCTGAGCATTCAACACCGGCATCTTCACTGTGAGAGCAGTGTTCAGAGTAATAAGATGTGCAGTCAAGTATTGAGCTTTCCGAACCGTTGCAGTGCACATGTACAAGGTGAATAGGACCAACACCCGGGCCATAGGTAGCGTAGCCCGGGGCATTAATGGCTGGTCCATATCCAAGCTGTCTGCAGATGACTTGGGCCTCGTTCATGTCCCAGGAATGGCTGCAAGCCGTTCCCCAGGAACCGTTGACAAACACCTCTACTCTGCCTTCATAGATGGTGCTGCCATTCACTAATCGTAACACGGAGGAGGGTGGATTGACGTCTACAGTGGGAGCAACGGTGTTTCCTATAAAACATGATGAATGGAAGAAATGGTTTGAAATACACAACGAGTCTAGTTGTTGTAACTGTTTAAGTAAAGTCTATTTTGTATTACAATAAAATATCTGCAGATATGTGTAGTTAACACAACAGTTAATTCATCTTCCCCATGGTAACAGTCTGAGTATCCGTTGCATCTTTGGTAGCCTCGAATGCATTGGCCGTTGTAGTAGCATCGCAACTCGTATGAACTGCAGCCGTAGCAGAACGGTTCGGTAGTGTAGTCTGGGATTAAAGTGTAGTATAAAACAAAGGTATCTGTACATATTGAGTAAGAAATTTCACAGAAACTGATTTGTTGTACACATTTACCGGTGCAGTTGTATTCATCTTCGCCAAAGTAGCAGTCCGAGTATCCGTTGCATCTTTGGTAGTCTTGAATACATTGACCGTAGTAGTAGCATGCCCACTCATTTGAACTGCAGCCGGAGTTGGATGGCTCAGTGGTATAGTCTGAAAACGAAAAGACAGCGAGATGAATTATTTAAAAAACTTGGAGAATGTTTCAACTTTAGAAAACTGTTTTTGTTGTAGATATTTACCGTAACAGTTGGATTCATCTTCGCCATAGTAGCAGTCAGTGTAACCGTTGCATCTTTGGTAGTCTTGAATACATTGACCGTTGTAGTAGCATTGCCACTCATATGAACTGCAGCCGGAGTAGGGTGGTTCAGTGGTAGAGTCTGGAATTTAAAAGTGTGGTTTAAAAAGACAGTACGATATATGTTTCATAAGCAAAAATGTGACATATGCCATCTTTAACAAACTCTTTTTGTTTTGAATATTCATTTAGAAAATAATCTCCTGTGCTCATCTTGTCTAAAGTAACACTCAGTAGGTCCAAAAACACATTGACCTTCGTAATTTATTTTGTAGTATCGCCACTTACATCATCTGCAGCCGTAGTAGAGAGGTTTTGGAAGTGAAGTTATCAATAATTAAGCTTTATATTGCAGCCAACTTCTTAAACTTTCGCTGAAAAAGTAGTCGGAAAATAGCAGCGACACCTCATCTTCAAACTTGTCATAATTTGTCTTTGCAAATCCATATTAAACCTATAATCAGACATGATCTGGCAACATAGCGGCGGCACGCTAGAAGCTAGTTGGAAAGTCAAGAACCTTGATTTTTACATGGTCATTTTACTTTCCTGCCTCACCGTTACAGGGCGCCCTGAAAATAGCCAACTGATTGTTCAGATTTTTAACTTCATTTAATATTTTCTGGAAATAAACTTACCACTGTTACAAGTAACTCCTGCGTCCTCATTATGCCCACAGTTATGGCTAACCAGCCAGCATGATTGCATTCAGCTATGCTAGATTCATATCCTTGGCAGTTAACATTGTCTAGCATGATCGGACCTGATCCTTGACCGAAGTGAGCGCCGCTCCAAGCGTTGGATGCAGAAGGGTAACCAAGCATGCGACAGACGACATCAGCATTATTAAGGTCCCATCCATCATCGCAGACTGTACCCCACTCGCCTTGGTAGAAGACCTCAACTTGACCCTCGTTAGAAGAGCTTCCATTCACGAGACGAACTGGAGCTAAAGTAAGAGAACATGAAATGCTTCGTGGGTTAGGTTACTCACTGTAAAATACTTCAATTTAGTAAAAGATTAAAAACACACACATAGACACCCACGGTTGTTCGTGTGTAAATGGAGGATTTTCTTTTGTTCCTCTTCCATTTTCCTTTGTTTGTACTAACTTTTTCGCAACAGCTCTATTTGGTTTTGTACACGTTTTCTAATCGAGGTCGTCCTCGATTTGGTCCCTGTCCTCGATTCACCGATGATGTTGCACGTGTGTGTCCTCGATTTACACAATAAACAAACTCATCGGTTTCATTTTACTGCGTCTCATGATAAAACCTCCCATAATGTCTTGAACACGATCGTCAATTGTGGACTTCCAGGAATTGTGGAAACTATTGTCCTCTTCTGTTCAACGTCCCTATTGAATGCATAAGCAAACCCGCTTACACATTATACTTATGGGGAAGACCTTTGTTTCCTTTTCTTTTGTTTTCCTTTGTTCCTATTGAAATATCAAACTCCAGAGCGTTTCGGGTATGAGTAGGTTGATTTCTAAAGACGTCCTTATTATGGGATCTATTGTTCTATTGTGTTTTCTACCCCATAACGAACCCTGTACATGCACTTTGGTTTCATTACTGCGTCTATGAGATATCACATTGTCAGTTCAAACATGGGTCAAAATGATGAACAGCGCATGAGCGCAAGTCAAAACTCGATTATAATTCAGTTCTCGCTCGGTAAACTGGCTGTCGCCCCAATCAGTATCGACAATATACGGACCAGGAATCAGTCTACTCGCATGGCGGTCTTGTTTAGCACGCACAAAAAACCAAACCAAAACAAAAGCCTTTCTTGTTTCAGATGGTTGCATAAACTTCAAATAGCCAAAGTGGTTTTCATTAAAATACAAGCCAAAAAAAAAGCTTTGCAAGACAAAAATAATCTCCAATTAAATCATGTGGATCAGTAATATTGAGGTCATAATTTCAATGCAACTTGACAATAAGACGTGGATACACCTTTTCGGATGGAAAATGTTAGAAAAAAAACCCACTATTTTTCATGACAAGTTTGGCGGTGATTGGACGAACAAGTTTGAATTACCTGAGCATTCAACACCGGCATCTTCACTGTGAGAGCAGTGTTCAGAGTAATAAGATGTGCAGTCAAGTATTGAGCTTTCCGAACCGTTGCAGTGCACATGTACAAGGTGAATAGGACCAACACCAGGGCCATAGGTAGCGTAACCCGGGGCATTAATGGCTGGTCCATATCCAAGCTGTCTGCAGATGACTTGGGCCTCGTTCATGTCCCAGGAATGGCTGCAAGCCGTTCCCCAGGAACCGTTGACAAACACCTCTACTCTGCCTTCATAGATGGTGCTGCCATTCACTAATCGTAACACGGAGGAGGGTGGATTGACGTCTACAGTGGGAGCAACGGTGTTTCCTATAAAACATGATGAATGGAAGAAATGGTTTGAAATACACAACGAGTCTAGTTGTTTGTAACTGTTTAAGTAAAGTCTATTTTGTATTACAATAAATATCTGCAGATATGTGTAGTTAACACAACAGTTAATTCATCTTCCCCATGGTAACAGTCTGAGTATCCGTTGCATCTTTGGTAGCCTCGAATGCATTGGCCGTTGTAGTAGCATCGCAACTCGTATGAACTGCAGCCGTAGCAGAACGGTTCGGTAGTGTAGTCTGGGATTAAAGTGTAGTATAAAAACAAGGTATCTGTACATATTGAGTAAGAAATTTCACAGAAACTGATTTGTTGTACACATTTACCGGTGCAGTTGTATTCATCTTCGCCAAAGTAGCAGTCCGAGTATCCGTTGCATCTTTGGTAGTCTTGAATACATTGACCGTAGTAGTAGCATGCCCACTCATTTGAACTGCAGCCGGAGTTGGATGGCTCAGTGGTATAGTCTGAAAACGAAAAGACAGCGAGATGAATTATTTAAAAAACTTGGAGAATGTTTCAACTTTAGAAAACTGTTTTTGTTGTAGAGATTTACCGTAACAGTTGGATTCATCTTCGCCATAGTAGCAGTCAGTGTAACCGTTGCATCTTTGGTAGTCTTGAATACATTGACCGTTGTAGTAGCATTGCCACTCATATGAACTGCAGCCGGAGTAGGGTGGTTCAGTGGTAGAGTCTGGAATTTAAAAGTGTGGTTTAAAAAGACAGTACGATATAGTTTCATAAGCAAAATGTGACATATGCCATCTTAAACAAACTCTTTTTGTTTTGAATATTCATTTAGAAAATAATCTCCTGTGCTCATCTTGTCTAAAGTAACACTCAGTAGGTCCAAAAACACATTGACCTTCGTAATTTATTTTGTAGTATCGCCACTTACATCATCTGCAGCCGTAGTAGAGAGGTTTTTTTGGAAGTGAAGTTATCAATAATTAAGCTTTATATTGCAGCCAACTTCTTAAACTTTCGCTGAAAAAGTAGTCGGAAAATAGCAGCGACACCTCATCTTCAAACTTGTCATAATTTGTCTTTGCAAATCCATATTAAACCTATAATCAGACATGATCTGGCAACATAGCGGCGGCACGCTAGAAGCTAGTTGGAAAGTCAAGAACCTTGATTTTTACATGGTCATTTTACTTTCCTGCCTCACCGTTACAGGGCGCCCTGAAAATAGCCAACTGATTGTTCAGATTTTTAACTTCATTTAATATTTTCTGGAAATAAACTTACCACTGTTACAAGTAACTCCTGCGTCCTCATTATGCCCACAGTTATGGCTAAACAGCCAGCATGATTGCATTCAGCTATGCTAGATTCATATCCTTGGCAGTTAACATTGTCTAGCATGATCGGACCTGATCCTTGACCGAAGTGAGCGCCGCTCCAAGCGTTGGATGCAGAAGGGTAACCAAGCATGCGACAGACGACATCAGCATTATTAAGGTCCCATCCATCATCGCAGACTGTACCCCACTCGCCTTGGTAGAAGACCTCAACTTGACCCTCGTTAGAAGAGCTTCCATTCACGAGACGAACTGGAGCTAAAGTAAGAGAACATGAAATGCTTCGTGGGTTAGGTTACTCACTGTAAAATACTTCAATTTAGTAAAAGATTAAAAACACACACATAGACACCCACGGTTGTTCGTGGTGTAAATGGAGGATTTTCTTTTTGTTCCTCTTCCATTTTCCTTTGTTTGTACTAACTTTTTCGCAACAGCTCTATTTGGTTTTGTACACGTTTTCTAATCGAGGTCGTCCTCGATTTGGTCCCTGTCCTCGATTCACCGATGATGTTGCACGTGTGTGTCCTCGATTTACACAATAAACAAACTCATCGGTTTCATTTTACTGCGTCTCATGATAAAACCTCCCATAATGTCTTGAACACGATCGTCCAATTGTGGACTTCCAGGAATTGTGGAAACTATTGTCCTCTTCTGTTCAACGTCCCCTATTGAATGCATAAGCAAACCCGCTTACACATTATACTTATGGGGAAGACCTTTGTTCCTTTTTTTTGTTTTCCTTTGTTCCTATTGAAATATCAAACTCCAGAGCGTTTCGGGTATGAGTAGGTTGATTTCTAAAGACGTCCTTATTATGGGATCTATTGTTCTATTGTGTTTTCTACCCCATAACGAACCCTGTACATGCACTTTGGTTTCATTACTGCGTCTATGAGATATCACATTGTCAGTTCAAACATGGGTCAAAATGATGAACAGCGCATGAGCGCAAGTCAAAACTCGATTATAATTCAGTTCTCGCTCGGTAAACTGGCTGTCGCCCCAATCAGTATCGACAATATACGGACCAGGAACCAGTCTACTCGCATGGCGGTCTTGTTTAGCACGCACAAAAAACCCAAACCAAAACAAAAGCCTTTCTTGTTTCAGATGGTTGCATAAACTTCAAATAGCCAAAGTGGTTTTCATTAAAATACAAGCAAAAAAAAAAAAGCTTTGCATGAACAAAACTATATCTCCAATTAAATCATGTGGATCAGTAATATTGAGGTCATTAATTTCAATGCAACTTGACAATAAGACGTGGATACACCTTTTCGGATGGAAAATGTTACAAAAAAAATACTATTTTTCATGACAAGTTTGGCGGTGATTGGACGAACAAGTTTGAATTACCTGAGCATTCAACACCGGCATCTTCACTGTGAGAGCAGTGTTCAGAGTAATAAGATGTGCAGTCAAGTATTGAGCTTTCCGAACCGTTGCAGTGCACATGTACAAGGTGAATAGGACCAACACCCAGGGCCATAGGTAGCGTAACCCGGGGCATTAATGGCTGGTCCATATCCAAGCTGTCTGCAGATGACTTGGGCCTCGTTCATGTCCCAGGAATGGCTGCAAGCCGTTCCCCAGGAACGTTGACAAACACCTCTACTCTGCCTTCATAGATGGTGCTGCCATTCACTAATCGTAACACGGAGGAGGGTGATTGACGTCTACAGTGGGACAACGGTGTTTCCTATAAAACATGATGAATGGAAGAGGTTTTGAAATACACAACGAGTCTAGTTGTTGTAACTGTTTAAGTAAAGTCTCTTTTGTATTACAATAAAATATCTGCAGATATGTGTATTTAACACAACAGTTAATTCATCTTCCCCATGGTAACAGTCTGAGTATCCGTTGCATCTTGGTAGCCTCGAATGCATTGGCATTGTAGTAGCATCGCAACTCGTATGAACTGCAGCCGTAGCAGAACGGTTCGGTAGTGTAGTCTGGGATTAAAGTGTAGTATAAAACAAAGGTATCTGTACATATTGAGTAAGAAATTTCACAGAAACTGATTTGTTGTACACATTTACCGGTGCAGTTGTATTCATCATCTTCGCCAAAGTAGCAGTCCGAGTATCCGTTGCATCTTTGGTAGTCTTGAATACATTGACCGTAGTAGTAGCATGCCCACTCATTTGAACTGCAGCCGGAGTTGGATGGCTCAGTGGTATAGTCCCTGAAAACGAAAAGACAGCGAGATGAATTATTTTTAAAAAACTTGGAGAAATGTTTCAACTTTAAAAACTGTTTTGTTGTAGATATTTACCGTAACAGTTGGATTCATCTTCGCCATAGTAGCAGTCAGTGTAACCGTTGCATCTTTGGTAGTCTTGAATACATTGACCGTTGTATTATCATTGCCACTCATATAACTGCAGCCGGAGTAGGGTGGTTCAGTGGTAGAGTCTGGAAATTTAAAAGTGGTGGTTTAAAAGGACAGTACGATATATGTTTCATAAGCAAAGATGTGACATATGCCATCTTAACAACTCTTTTTGTTTTGAATATTCATTTAGAAAATAATCTCCTGTGCTCATCTTGTCTAAAGTAACACTCAGTAGGTCCAAAAACACATTGACCTTCGTAATTTATTTTGTAGTATCGCCACTTACATCATCTGCAGCCGTAGTAGAGAGGTTTTGGAAGTGAAGTTATCAATAATTAAGCTTTATAATTGCAGCCAACTTCTTAACTTTCGCTGAAAAAGTATTCGGAAAATAGCAGCGACACCTCATCTTCAAACTTGTCATAATTTGTCTTTGCAAATCCATATTAAACCTATAATCAGACATGATCTGGCAACATAGCGGCGGCACGCTAGAAGCTAGTTGGAAAGTCCAAGAAACCTTGATTTTTACATGGTCTTGTTTACTTTCCTGCCTCACCGTTACAGGGCGCCCTGAAAAATAGCCAACTGATTGTTCAGATTTTTAACTTCATTTAATATTTTCTGGAATAAACTTACCACTGTTACAAGTAACTCCTGCGTCCTCATTATGCCACAGTTATGGCTAACCAGCCAGCATGATTGCATTCAGCTATGCTAGATTCATATCCTTGGCAGTTAACATTGTCTAGCATGATCGGACCTGATCCTTGACCGAAGTGAGCGCCGCTCCAAGCGTTGGATGCAGAAGGGTAACCAAGCATGCGACAGACGACATCAGCATTATTAAGGTCCCATCCATCATCGCAGACTGTACCCCACTCGCCTTGGTAAGAAGACCTCAACTTGACCCTCGTTAGAAGAGCTTCCATTCACGAGACGAACTGGAGCTAAAGTAAGAGAACATGAAATGCTTCGTGGGTTAGGTTACTCACTGTAAAATACTTCAATTTAGTAAAAGATTAAAACACACACATAGACACCCCACGGTTGTTCGTGGTGTAAATGGAGGATTTTCTTTTGTTCCTCTTCCATTTTCCTTTGTTTGTACTAACTTTTTCGCAACGCTCTATTTGGTTTTGTACACGTTTTCTAATCGAGGTCGTCCTCGATTTGGTCCCTGTCCTCGATTCACCGATGATGTTGCACGTGTGTGTCCTCGATTTACACAATAAACAACTCATCGGTTTCATTTTACTGCGTCTCATGATAAAACCTCCCATAATGTCTTGAACACGATCGTCAATTGTGGACTTCCAGGAATTGTGGAAACTATTGTCCTCTTCTGTTCAACGTCCCCTATTGAATGCATAAGCAAACCCGCTTACACATTATACTTATGGGAAGACCTTTGTTTCCTTTCTTTTGTTTTCCTTTGTTCCTATTGAAATATCAAACTCCAGAGCGTTTCGGGTATGAGTAGGTTGATTTCTAAAGACGTCCTTATTATGGGATCTATTGTTCTATTGTGTTTTCTACCCCATAACGAACCCTGTACATGCACTTTGGTTTCATTACTGCGTCTATGAGATATCACATTGTCAGTTCAAACATGGGTCAAAATGATGAACAGCGCATGAGCGCAAGTCAAAACTCGATTATAATTCAGTTCTCGCTCGGTAAACTGGCTGTCGCCCCAATCAGTATCGACAATATACGGACCAGGAACCAGTCTACTCGCATGGCGGTCTTGTTTAGCACGCACAAAAAACCCAAACCAAAACAAAAGCCTTTCTTGTTTCAGATGGTTGCATAAACTTCAAATAGCCAAAGTGGTTTTCATTAAAATTCAAGCCAAAAAAAAGCTTTGCATGACAAAACTAATTTTGATTTTGTTGACGAGCAACGGACAGTGCATCTATAAAATCGCCAGTTTGAGAAGGACTTATCTCCAATTAAATCATGTGGATCAGTAATATTGAGGTCATTAATTTCAATGCAACTTGACAATAAGACGTGGATACACCTTTTCGGATGGAAAATGTTAGAAAAAAAATACTATTTTTCATGACAAGTTTGGCGGTGATTGGACGAACAAGTTTGAAGTACCTGAGCATTCAACACCGGCATCTTCACTGTGAGAGCAGTGTTCAGAGTAATAAGATGTGCAGTCAAGTATTGAGCTTTCCGAACCGTTGCAGTGCACATGTACAAGGTGAATAGGACCAACACCCGGGCCATAGGTAGCGTAGCCGGGGCATTAATGGCTGGTCCATATCCAAGCTGTCTGCAGATGACTTGGGCCTCGTTCATGTCCCAGGAATGGCTGCAAGCCGTTCCCCAGGAACCGTTGACAAACACCTCTACTCTGCCTTCATAGATGGTGCTGCCATTCACTAATCGTAACACGGAGGAGGGTGGATTGACGTCTACAGTGGGAGCAACGGTGTTTCCTATAAAACATGATGAATGGAAGAAATGGTTTGAAATACACAACGAGTCTAGTTGTTGTAACTGTTTAAGTAAAGTCTATTTTGTATTACAATAAAATATCTGCAGATATGTGTAGTTAACACAACAGTTAATTCATCTTCCCCATGGTAACAGTCTGAGTATCCGTTGCATCTTTGGTAGCCTCGAATGCATTGGCCGTTGTAGTAGCATCGCAACTCGTATGAACTGCAGCCGTAGCAGAACGGTTCGGTAGTGTAGTCTGGGATTAAAGTGTAGTATAAAACAAAGGTATCTGTACATATTGAGTAAGAAATTTCACAGAAACTGATTTGTTGTACACATTTACCGGTGCAGTTGTATTCATCTTCGCCAAAGTAGCAGTCCGAGTATCCGTTGCATCTTTGGTAGTCTTGAATACATTGACCGTAGTAGTAGCATGCCCACTCATTTGAACTGCAGCCGGAGTTGGATGGCTCAGTGGTATAGTCTGAAAACGAAAAGACAGCGAGATGAATTATTTAAAAAACTTGGAGAATGTTTCAACTTTAGAAAACTGTTTTGTTGTAGATATTTACCGTAACAGTTGGATTCATCTTCGCCATAGTAGCAGTCAGTGTAACCGTTGCATCTTTGGTAGTCTTGAATACATTGACCGTTGTAGTAGCATTGCCACTCATATGAACTGCAGCCGGAGTAGGGTGGTTCAGTGGTAGAGTCTGGAATTTAAAAGTGTGGTTTAAAAAGACAGTACGATATATGTTTCATAAGCAAAAATGTGACATATGCCATCTTTAACAAACTCTTTTTGTTTTGAATATTCATTTAGAAAATAATCTCCTGTGCTCATCTTGTCTAAAGTAACACTCAGTAGGTCAAAAACACATTGACCTTCGTAATTTATTTTGTAGTATCGCCACTTACATCATCTGCAGCCGTAGTAGAGAGGTTTTGGAAGTGAAGTTATCAATAATTAAGCTTTATATTGCAGCCAACTTCTTAAACTTTCGCTGAAAAAGTAGTCGGAAAATAGCAGCGACACCTCATCTTCAAACTTGTCATAATTTGTCTTTGCAAATCCATATTAAACCTATAATCAGACATGATCTGGCAACATAGCGGCGGCACGCTAGAAGCTAGTTGGAAAGTCAAGAACCTTGATTTTTACATGGTCATTTTACTTTCCTGCCTCACCGTTACAGGGCGCCCTGAAAATAGCCAACTGATTGTTCAGATTTTTAACTTCATTTAATATTTTCTGGAAATAAACTTACCACTGTTACAAGTAACTCCTGCGTCCTCATTATGCCCACAGTTATGGCTAAACCAGCCAGCATGATTGCATTCAGCTATGCTAGATTCATATCCTTGGCAGTTAACATTGTCTAGCATGATCGGACCTGATCCTTGACCGAAGTGAGCGCCGCTCCAAGCGTTGGATGCAGAAGGGTAACCAAGCATGCGACAGACGACATCAGCATTATTAAGGTCCCATCCATCATCGCAGACTGTACCCCACTCGCCTTGGTAGAAGACCTCAACTTGACCCTCGTTAGAAGAGCTTCCATTCACGAGACGAACTGGAGCTAAAGTAAGAGAACATGAAATGCTTCGTGGGTTAGGTTACTCACTGTAAAATACTTCAATTTAGTAAAAGATTAAAAACACACACATAGACACCCACGGTTGTTCGTGGTGTAAATGGAGATTTTCTTTTGTTCCTCTTCCATTTTCCTTTGTTTGTACTAACTTTTTCGCAACAGCTCTATTTGGTTTTGTACACGTTTTCTAATCGAGGTCGTCCTCGATTTGGTCCCTGTCCTCGATTCACCGATGATGTTGCACGTGTGTGTCCTCGATTTACACAATAAACAAACTCATCGGTTTCATTTTACTGCGTCTCATGATAAAACCTCCCATAATGTCTTGAACACGATCGTCAATTGTGGACTTCCAGGAATTGTGGAAACTATTGTCCTCTTCTGTTCAACGTCCCCTATTGAATGCATAAGCAAACCCGCTTACACATTATACTTATGGGGAAGACCTTTGTTTCCTTTCTTTTGTTTTCCTTTGTTCCTATTGAAATATCAAACTCCAGAGCGTTTCGGGTATGAGTAGGTTGATTTCTAAAGACGTCCTTATTATGGGATCTATTGTTCTATTGTGTTTTCTACCCCATAACGAACCCTGTACATGCACTTTGGTTTCATTACTGCGTCTATGAGATATCACATTGTCAGTTCAAACATGGGTCAAAATGATGAACAGCGCATGAGCGCAAGTCAAAACTCGATTATAATTCAGTTCTCGCTCGGTAAACTGGCTGTCGCCCCAATCAGTATCGACAATATACGGACCAGGAATCCAGTCTACTCGCATGGCGGTCTTGTTTAGCACGCACAAAAAACCCAAACCAAAACAAAAGCCTTTCTTGTTTCAGATGGTTGCATAAACTTCAAATAGCCAAAGTGGTTTTCATTAAAATACAAGCCAAAAAAAAGCTTTGCATGACAAAACTAATTTGATTTTGTTGACGAGCAACGGACAGTGCATCTATAAAATCGCCAGTTTGAGAAAGGACTTATCTCCAATTAAATCATGTGGATCAGTAATATTGAGGTCATTAATTTCAATGCAACTTGACAATAAGACGTGGATACACCTTTTCGGATGGAAAATGTTAGAAAAAAAAATCTATTTTTCATGACAAGTTTGGCGGTGATTGGACGAACAAGTTTGAATTACCTGAGCATTCAACACCGGCATCTTCACTGTGAGAGCAGTGTTCAGAGTAATAAGATGTGCAGTCAAGTATTGAGCTTTCCGAACCGTTGCAGTGCACATGTACAGGTGAATAGGACCAACACCCGGGCCATAGGTAGCGTAGCCCGGGGCATTAATGGCTGGTCCATATCCAAGCTGTCTGCAGATGACTTGGGCCTCGTTCATGTCCCAGGAATGGCTGCAAGCCGTTCCCCAGGAACCGTTGACAAACACCTCTACTCTGCCTTCATAGATGGTGCTGCCATTCACTAATCGTAACACGGAGGAGGGTGGATTGACGTCTACAGTGGGAGCAACGGTGTTTCCTATAAAACATGATGAATGGAAGAAATGGTTTGAAATACACAACGAGTCTAGTTGTTGTAATGTTTAAGTAAAGCTATTTTGTATTACAATAAAATATCTGCAGATATGTGTAGTTAACACAACAGTTAATTCATCTTCCCCATGGTAACAGTCTGAGTATCCGTTGCATCTTTGGTAGCCTCGAATGCATTGGCCGTTGTAGTAGCATCGCAACTCGTATGAACTGCAGCCGTAGCAGAACGGTTCGGTAGTGTAGTCTGGGATTAAAGTGTAGTATAAAACAAAGGTATCTGTACATATTGAGTAAGAAATTTCACAGAAACTGATTTGTTGTACACATTTACCGGTGCAGTTGTATTCATCTTCGCCAAAGTAGCAGTCCGAGTATCCGTTGCATCTTTGGTAGTCTTGAATACATTGACCGTAGTAGTAGCATGCCCACTCATTTGAACTGCAGCCGGAGTTGGATGGCTCAGTGGTATAGTCTGAAAACGAAAAGACAGCGAGATGAATTATTTAAAAAATTGGAGAATGTTTCAACTTTAGAAACTGTTTTGTTGTAGATATTTACCGTAACAGTTGGATTCATCTTCGCCATAGTAGCAGTCAGTGTAACCGTTGCATCTTTGGTAGTCTTGAATACATTGACCGTTGTAGTAGCATTGCCACTCATATGAACTGCAGCCGGAGTAGGGTGGTTCAGTGGTAGAGTCTGGAATTTAAAAGTGTGGTTTTAAAAGACAGTACGATATATGTTTCATAAGCAAAAATGTGACATATGCCATCTTTAACAAACTCTTTTTGTTTTGAATATTCATTTAGAAAATAATCTCCTGTGCTCATCTTGTCTAAAGTAACACTCAGTAGGTCCAAAAACACATTGACCTTCGTATTTTTTTTGTAGTATCGCCACTTACATCATCTGCAGCCGTAGTAGAGAGGTTTTGGAAGTGAAGTTATCAATAATTAAGCTTTATATTGCAGCCAACTTCTTAAACTTTCGCTGAAAAGTAGTCGGAAAATAGCAGCGACACCCATCTTCAAACTTGTCATAATTTGTCTTTGCAAATCCATATTAAACCTATAATCAGACATGATCTGGCAACATAGCGGCGGCACGCTAGAAGCTAGTTGGAAAGTCAAGAACCTTGATTTTTTACATGGTCCATTACTTTCCTGCCTCACCGTTACAGGGCGCCCTGAAAATAGCCAACTGATTGTTCAGATTTTTAACTTCATTTAATATTTTCTGGAAATAACTTACCACTGTTACAAGTAACTCCTGCGTCCTCATTATGCCCACAGTTATGGCTAAACCAGCCAGCATGATTGCATTCAGCTATGCTAGATTCATATCCTTGCAGTTAACATTGTCTAGCATGATCGGACCTGATCCTTGACCGAAGTGAGCGCCGCTCCAATCGTTGGATGCAGAGGGTAACCAAGCATGCGACAGACGACATCAGCATTATTAAGGTCCACATCCATCATCGCAGACTGTACCCCACTCGCCTTGGTAGAAGACCTCAACTTGACCCTCGTTAGAAGAGCTTCCATTCACGAGACGAACTGA